AAACAGGGCGAGGAGTGGGGCAACATACACCTGCCCCATCCCCTGTCCCGTCCCCCGCATACAATTAAAAAATATATATATATATATAATACAACCTCAAATTTTCAAAATTGCACTCTTATTTACAAGTACAATGTTAGGTAGTGTCAATGGCCGTCGCAACAACTGAAGAAATTTCTTGGACCATTGTTGATTTGTTTCCAACGCCCCCTCCCCAAGACTAAGCTATCCAATTCCAATCCGTTTTGCTCCTAACCCATTTTTATTTTGACCGGTTTTCTTCCTCCGCACTGAATGTAACTTGACTTGTTGTGTTTTATTTCCATCTTGACAACTTTTTAATCTTATTTAACATTGTTTACAATTGTATTATTGTAAGTAAACATTTATGATAAGTTGATTTCTTCCCCGCAGGGGAAACAGGACGGGGGCGGGGTGAGGGGCAAGGGGCGGGGGGTGGGGCGGGAGACGGGGGGGGGGAGTTATTTGACAATGGGGCAGGGGTCCCCCCTGCCCCGCCCCACCCTACCCCATTGCCACCCCCTAGTTAGGTGTTGAGTGAAAAAACCCAAATGAATTCTCGGCAGTTTGGGTTGTTAGTTGGGTACCTATTAATTTTTAGTTTTGTCCAGCTATCAAAATAAAAAACAAACTCCAAAACTTGTAAGCGGCATTGATTTGGTCAAATAATTTTATCTTCTCAAAATTTTGATAGGTAAAATCGATCTAATTTTATGGAGTTACAAACTTGGAACAATGAAAACACAAGAAAGATATGATTCCCCAGTGACTGCTACTAATTAATTATTTATCACCACTTACTAAATACCATCCAAAGAAATAATCCACCTGCAGACACCAAAACCCGGCCAGATGAATAATTAAGTAGTTCGTGTAATATAAAAAATATACATATATATATATATATATATATATATATATATATATATATATATTTCAGTTCTTGCGCTTGTTTTTTGACGGAATAATTTTTGTCTTATAATATGCTTGATGTGTATTGAAATTAAGGTGGATAAAAACGAGTCATGATGATGCTCACTGCCCCGCTAATTAAATGTTCTGGGCTTCGAAACCGTGTACGTGGGTCTGATTGCGTGCGTGATTGGAGGTTTCTTCTTTCACTTTTCCTCTCTTTTGTTTGTTTGGTGAAAAGGGAGCTTAAGTTCTCAATCTCTTCCCATAATTGATTTCATTACTTTCTCAATGGATCACGAATTAATGACGCACATCCCCGCCAAGGACATGATGAAATTGGTAGCCATCCATCAATTTGTTTGCATGCTGCATCAATAATCCTAATGTATGTGTGAGCTAAGTCAATTGTCATTGAGTTCAAGAAATGAGCTACTTACCAGCAGAATTGAACTATTTTAGCAAACCAGAATAGCAGAGAGCATGCATGTGCAAGAAAAGTAGGAATGGTGACAAGACTAGGATGCAATAGAAAGAGGCCATGATAATGTCGACGTACATATTAAGATTAGGAAGAGAGAGAAGCGTGATAATTATGTCGACATATTAAGACTAGGATGCAGCTGTAGAAAGAGATACATTATAACCAATTTGATCAGAAGAATAATACTATTATATACTCGTAAAAAACATTATTAGTATTTTAGTTCTAGAGATGTTTGTTTCCTTTCTTCACTCACGTTCATTCGATAATTAACTGGATCTTCAGAAAGTATAGCTAGGCTCATTAATTAACTACATCTTAATTAAAGATAGATCCTCTTCCTAGCTATTTCTGGCGGAACAAACTTAAATTCATTAATTTGTCTCTTAGCTTCACTATTAAATTTCATAAGCCTTGTTGAAGAACATCTTGGCATATATATAAGGTCGGACCATGTTCAGCTCATGAATGCCAACATTCTTTAATTTACGCATAGATATTAATGTGACCCCAGTTTTCTTAAATGCAACATTATCTGTCAATTTTGATTCTTTTAACACTTCTTTTTTTTTTTTTGTTTTGCAAAGAAAGAAACGAGAACAAGAAGATGCATTCGATTCATCAAAAGTATTTACAAGTCACCATTTATACATGTCCTTTTGTAGCCAAGGCAAAAGAAGATAGTGAGGGGGGCTAACAAAAACCATATCTACGTCCTACCATATATATCAAAAGGCAGTTCCAATGCGTGCATGCATGCATGCATGATAATACGTCTACTGCAAAGTTACGTTCTCTTGGCGGAAATTCCAGATGGCAACTGGGTAGTAAACCAACCGCTTTGGGTTGTTGGCCAACACCAAGTTTTTAAGGTTTTGAGGGGTGAGAGTTTAAGGTTCAAATCTTACCTTTTATTAATTGCCACAATATATGATTTCGCTAAAAATTCAAAATTCATACGAGTGGTTCGATGGTAGTTTAAATCATATCGGTTCCGTAAGTTCAGTTAGGTCTCTTCCTTATATTAGGATAAAGTAGGATAATATAGATAAAGTGACGATAACAAAAAATAAATAAATTTGGATAGTGGAGTTTATCATTTCCTCGCAGTCCTTCACAAGGTTGTTTTTGCTCGAGTTTTCCTTTTTTTTCTATCGAGAGATAGAAACACACACATTTAATTAGATTAGAAACGCTCAGGAGACACATCCAATTAAATTAGAAACACTCAGGAGATTAACGGTTAAAGGACCAGTTAACAGTAATTTAAGGGACCAGTTTTCCTGCATATAGCATTAGCAATAATCTGGCCGCCAGAATGCATGATGAGCTCATCGATTTTGAATCTCACAGCCAAAAGCAGCCCTTCTGTAATCGCACGCAACTTGGCCACGAAGTCACAATCTGCAAATTGGATTAAAAAAAGGGTTAATCACATTTAATTCCCTTAAAGTATATCCCATTTCTCAGTTTATTGTCTAACTTTTAATTTTACTCACTTAACCTTTTATAAGACAAAATTACCCTTGCATTATTTTGACTTTTTATTTACCTTGTTTTCCTTTCTTTCCTTTCTTTTTCTCTTTCTTTTTTTATTTAATTCTTTATCTTTTCCACAAAATTCTTCACCTTAATGATTGAAATTAAAAAAAGAGAAATTACAGAGATCTATCTTCTTCTTAAATGATTAAAAAAAATATTCAAATTACTTTCCTAAAATACAATTTTTTTAGCCTTTCAATTCTTTTAATTTTGGATTTTCTTCTTTCCTTTCTAGTTTTTCATTTTATTCTCAAGAAAATATAAGATGAAATTGTTTTCCTTTCTTTTATTTCTTTTTCTTTTTCTTCTATCTCTCATCGTTTCCAATAGAAAATTCCATTTGTACGAAAATTTTTATTTGAATTTGTAATTGCATATTTCTAGGTGAAAATTTAAAAGGCATCAAAAACTAATTTTGATTTTTTATATGATGTCACGTGTCACAAATTTCAATTGATGATTATTAATCAGGTCACAATTTCATCTTAAGATTATTATACATGATGTGTATACCATCTTAAGATTATTATACATGATGTGAGACATATACATGACAAGGTCTATTCCATGTCTCATGATGTGAGACACATACACGACAAGGTCTATTCCATGTCTCATATGGATTTCTCTTCCAATTAACAATACTTCAATTCTAAAATTCTCAAGAGAAACGTAACCACTAAGAACCAAATGCCCATTAGACATGCATTTATCCCAGGTGTTGAGTGAGTTTCAAAATTTGAGATAAAGTACAACAACGATACATCTTAAGCCAACAAAAAAAAAAAAAAACAATTTGAACTTAGCGACAACTTGAATCCATTACCTAAATTTGATTGCGGAAATAAAATAGAAGAGACCTTGGTAGAAGTAGGATCTGAAGTGATTGGACAGAATTCTTATACCTTTACCTGCAGTAACAACTAACAAGAAAACAATGAAATACTCAGCAATTATTACAAGAAAAGCATGGTTTAAAGATCAATGACGGGGAGGAGAATAAGAATAATATTAAGTAGTAGTACAAAAGTAACAATTTTGAATAACTTAAAGCAGTGCTAGTTAAAGATCACCTAATTTCAAAGATTCAGAAAAGAAGGTTGAAGCAAGAAAAGGACAAAGCAAAAATAACAAAACATAAAAAGGACCAAGCGTGCAAGTAGAGAATCTATTGAGTTATCCCAACTTTTTTGTCCCCAGAAAACGATCAGCCACCGCCCCCTGGAGCTGGAATTGGATCTCAAGTTTGTAGTCTCTTGAGATATTGACAAAACTTCAATCCTATTTAATATCTCAACAGCTTTTCTTTTAAAAATCCAAAGCCAAAAGAAAAAAAAAACGATAATGATTGGTTCCATTACGTGTGCTAAAACCACTTGAGGTGAGGGATGCAATCATCTGGACCTGTAAAAAGAAAACAGAAATCCCTCTCAATGCAAGTCCATCTGCATGAACAAGGAGTTGAATGAGCCAATACAAGTTGGCTCAGTTGGCAAAGACAGGTCATTTCTTCATAAAAGATCGTGTGTTTGAATCCTGTTGTCGATGTGAGGGCTGTGTTAATGGGTAATCTGTAAATATCTCTATAAGCGACCTATGGTCCCGGAAGCTTGTCCTAATCCACGATAGTGATTGGAACTGAACTCACTCTTTTTTACCAAAAAGAAAAAAAGGCTGAATGAACATATTAGAAATAAAATTACTATTGATTGACTACATAATTCAAAGGGTGAACGCAGAGCTGATTGTAAGATAGACAACAGCACTTTAATTTTAGAGCTTCAAAAGAAACGCAATACCGAGACCCAAATGTGTGTTGAAAATTCCTGGGTAGTCCAGCCCAACCATCCTTCAATAACAATACGTCTAGATTATTAACAAACCCAAAACCATCGGGCCACCATTTCACCCCAAATTATTAATAATATTAATGATATGGCCATATCCACGAAATAAAGAACAAAAAATTAAACAAACCATGCTCCAACCTACAAAAACATTTTGCTTATGCAACTACTGTTGCATCTTCGTTTAAAACACAGCAATAACAATGAGATGGGGAGTTGTAAAGCATGAATAATAGCTTAATTAGCCCTTCTGATATGAGAAAAAGATGAAGTACTTGTTAGTTGTATGTTGCTACTAGAAACTTTTGCTAGGCTTCGGGATTGAGAACAACAACAGAAGATTGCTAGTTTAAAATTCTATTCCAACAGAAGAGAATAGGCAACTGAGCGAGAAAAAGAACAAGTATGCAATGCATGAAGCTTCTCTGGTTCTCATCTATTCCTTCACAGCTGTATAAACCACTAGATTCTGAGCCCGATAACCCATTGAAATTTAACCCCAAAGTTCAACTTCTGCGTAGCTCAAAACCCTGTAATGCCGCAAAAACTGATGAAAATGAAAATGGCCAGAATTCAGTAAAGACTCTACCTTTACCTTCCCATGTGAAACCCATCACAAGCACATCAAACCCATTTGTGAAGCATTGTTTAAAGCTTCGCCAGAGCTCTTCTTATCGCCACTCCCATGGCTCAGTTATTCTGGTGGGCTCTACTCCTATAAGGTCTCTTCGCTTTCTATCTCTGTATCGCTAAATTCCTGTTTTCTTGAACATTTGTTAATCTTGGTTCATTATGAATTAAGATGTATGTACTGGAATGGGGTTTTGCTAATTGTGTTTCTACAGGATTTTGTTTCTTGTTTTTGATATGCCTTGTGAGTGTTTGTACCAATGCTTGTGTTAGTGTGTGACAGTTTGTGGTTTGCATTGGGATGGTCAGCAAAGTGGTGAAATTTTAGTGATTGCAGTTAACAATTTAAGATTAATGATTTTACTGACTATTGCAGATGTCTCTCTAAGTGAGGAAAATCCTGGCAGAGATATCATTCTGCAATTCTACTGCTGTGTAATGCCGTGAGGAATCAATTAGTTCATAGATATTTATTTTCTATGATCAAAGCTGTGACTTGGGAATCTAGTGAAAAGTAAAGGAATCAATGTTAATGCAACTTGAGTGGAAAACAACTCCAATTTTAGGGAAAAGATGAGGAAACCAGTTTTGTGCAGGGCTTGAGAGATAAATAGGAGGCTTTAGGTGGAGGTGTGAATAATAGTTCAAGTAGAACTCCGGTTAAACATGATAATGAATGCTTACTGCATGCTCAAAAGATCATCATTGATGCCTCATGCTTAGCTCTTTTTCCTCTGATATTGTTATTTCTACTGCAGAGTATTTACGTGATTGTTATAAACTTTTGCAGGGAGCTATACAGATTTCAAAACAAAATTGAAGATGGACTTGCTGCAATAGAATGCTTACTTGTGCTTGATAACACTAATGTTCCTGAATACTTGAATAATCAGTCAATTTGACATGTCAATGTTGGTTCACTGGTGATGAAGAAAGTTTCTGGGCTGCAATCAACTGATTCCATTGACATGGTTGCGCTAATAAAAATTCCCTCAACATTTCATAGCATTGGTAGTTATCTGAAAGAAGAAGATTGTCATAAATGGTTCCCATCTCCTTATCAGATATTAGTCCTAGATGGAGTTCAGGTTATTCTCCTAACAATTACCGTTCTTACCATTTCTATTTGTTCATTTTTTTCTTGGTGAAAGAAATCCTTCCAGATCACCCTTTTCATGTTGGATTCAGGTCATCAATAGTCTCCTAGTTTTGAAGTTATATTACACCCCAAATTCGTTCTAATCAGAGAATTCAAAGCACCAGTGTCAACAGCCTACACGAAGGGGATGCAGATGATGTGCCCATCTTGCTCGCTTAATTTTTTTAAAAGGTTTACCAAAACATCGATTCTTTGTCTGGTACTATCTTGCACCAGTAAAGTCAATCTGCCAATTGATCTTAGTAAGAAAACCAAATTGCAAAACCTAGATACCCGTGTAAAAGAAAACCCCGGACCATCTTGATCCAGTAAGCCTTTAGCATTTTGAGTTATAAATGCTACAATAATAGTCACTTACTGCTTCAGAAGAAAGACAAGCCAAACTATCTTGGATCTAGATTATTTCAGTTTTCAACCGAACTTATTTCAATGTCATAGTGTCATTTAAGCTCCTGGGGTCCTTACCAATGGACAGTGCTTATGGTAGGAAATGCAAATAACATAATTGGAAGTTTCAGATCTTGAATGAATTTTGGGGAAACCAATTATAATTCAGCCTACCAATAGTTCTTGCTGCTTGTGTACTAGCTCCTTTTGGATGGTCTGCGAATCACAAGCTCATGATGACTGTTCATTGCAGGACCCTGCTAATCTTGACATGCTTCTTAGGTCAGCTATGGCCTTTAGATGGGTAAGGAAGATTGTACCTTTTTAGTTTTTAAGTGCTTCTGGCCTTCCTTTCTTGTAATATAATCATGAAAATGAAATCTGCATCTAGCGCTTGTCATGATGTCTTGTAGAATGTTTGTCTCTGGTTAAAAGTAGCTTTTGAGGGCATGATGCTTATTAACCTAATGACCTTTTGTTCGTCAAGGTTTCATCTTTGTGACAAGCCCAAGCTGTTTATGAACAAAAGTAGTCCCTCTACTGCAGAAGTTGTTGCCGTGATAAGTTGTGTCGTGCATTGATCCAGAACTGAACTTCCTTTCAGTATTCTTATCTCTCTTTGGTCTGGAGAGAATTAAAAGAAACTGATTTAATTGCTGATTTCAATAGGATGGTGTGTTCTTACTTTCTGACTGTTGTGACCCATTCAATGATAAAGCCTTACGAGCAAGTGGAGGAGCCTCCTTTCAGCTTCCTGTAGTGTCTGGTGGTTGGACACGTTTAGATGCTCTAAGAAGAGTTTTTCACATGAAGATTGTGCCTGTCAGTTCCTATAACTTCAATCTAATTTGAATAAAAAGTGCCAACAGGGTCATTTATCCCATGGGTTAGTTTTGCATAATAATAGGGGGATAGATGATAATGGAAGTTGCTATTAGTGGTCAATAAGCACTATTAAGTCACGCAACCAGTAAGGATGTCAACATCTGCTCAGTTCATCCAGTAATAGTAGCTAGGGGTCAGCTACTAGATTGGTTGTCATGTATCAGAAATGGATATTTTTCGCTTATAGTTGTGGTAAAGGTTTATAAAGGAAGAATGATAAGAAGATGCTGACTACTACCGCACGAGAGGATTAGTAGCCGGTGATGGCTGAGGTATGGTAAAACAATAGAAATTGTTCTTTAGACAACTTAATGTGCATTTTTGACCTACAAAATTGAAAATTGAAAATTGCAATTGCAACATAAATAATTGTTGATTCATATATTATGGCTTAGCTACTTAAGTAAACCGTGATACATAATTGAAGACACATCAAATTTTGCAGCTGAACGACTTGGAAAAGGGCTGGGGATGTCGGGTAATCTGCTGTTCTTTTCAATTTTCTGGGGAATTCTGTGCTTGTTGGAGCTTTAAAAAGATCGGAAATCATGGCCAGATGACTTCCATGTTAGGAAGTGAAGTTTGTATTGAGTTGTATTCAAAATCGTGGTTAATATCTATCATGAGTTTGTTTTCTGCACCTTACTCTATCGATTCTACCAGTTCATTCAGTTGGCATTATTTGCATTCTTCTCATTATAGGTACCCTTAAGCTCTTTTGTCTCATGTACACAGTAAGAAACTTTTTTTTGGATGCTGTTAAACCTGATTAAGGAATTTTTTATATGCACTCTAAACTCTTGTATTCTATTTTTCCATGAAAAGTTTAGGTGGTTGTGGAAACCTGCAAGAACTGACCTTGCTTTTGTAGATTCCTAGATATGAGCAAGGTAACTTTTTGGGCCCTACTATATTGTGTGATGTTGCAACCAACATGGAGTGCTACAAGGTACACTTCACTTTTCTCATACTTGTCTGGTCAATGCAATTAATAGGTGGTGATATTCTCTGATCATGATGGTCATATCCTCTGGAACAAGAATCAAAGAACTTGCAAATTACTGATGTAATGTAATTTTTTGAACAGGAGGAAATGTTTGGGCCAGTTCTTTGTATGCAGGTAATTCTAGTTATAGTTGAGTTTATATTATTGAATGTTGATAGTCCATTTTTCCATAATAATTTCCTGAGCAGGATTTACTAATCATATTATCTGTTTCGCTAGCAGGCTAACAGATTTGAAGAAGCCATTGCCATTGTGAATAGAAACAGGTTATTCTTCTGAATTCTGATATACTTGATCTTCAAACAGTTATTTAAATACACTATGTTGACACTATTTTTTACCATCATTTATTTCTAAAAATACAGGACTGAGCATACTTGCCCCAAGAAGTAATATAGAAATTTCTTAGAACGTTGAAATGAGCATGTACTTGTGCCTCCTCTCTATCTATCTCTCATCTCTTGCCATCTGTCTGGTTTAAAATGGAGCTACCTCACTTCATTGTCAAAATTTGCCCTTATCAAAAAATTTCTGTTCACAAAGCCAAGTTACTAAAGTTCCTTATGTCTTATTTCTACTCTTTTATTGTCCTTTCTCATAGGCATGTGAATGGAGCTTCCATCTTTAGGGGTCGCAGCTAGGAAGTTCCAGAATGATGTTGAGTCTGGGCTGGTGAGCTGATCCTTTTTATTTTATGTAACCAAGAACTGCTTTAGCTTTTCTAAGGCCAAATTCTTTATGTGGAGCTGTCTTGACTGTGCTATCTACTTGAATTGGCTTGAATGGAAAAGTTATTCTGCGTTAAAGTGGGGAAGTAGGAAACTACTTATTGTATCATCAACCAAGACCTGGAAGTTAGACATTTAGTATAAGACGACATCTTGTATATTTTCTTCACTGACATATAAGTTTGTTCAGGTTAGCTACCATCAGATACTTTGACTAAGTTGGGTAGCAATTACGAAATGTGCATTTTAATGTTAAATATTCGTTTTAAGTAGGATTGGGGAAATTTTCATGTCAACTTGGTTTTCATTGATTTGTCACCAAGTCATCTATTTTGTTTTAGTTAAGCGAATAGCCAAGTATTGACTCAAACCGAGATTTTAATAAGAGTGTGGAATCCATCAGGTTGGAATAAACGTGGCTGTCCCAATTCCTTTGCCATTTTCGTCGGTCAATGGTTCAAAAGCATCTTTTTCTGGTGATCTCAATTTCTGTGGTATGTCACAGTTTTCTCTTATCTTGGACAAACCCAGACATATCTTTTGCACCCTTTCCCATCCCAACTCCACATCGGAGTACAAAGTTAAATTAAATTATATTGACAATCTCAGGAAAGGCTGGATTGCAGTTTTACACACAGATAAAAGCAGTAGCACAGCAATGGAAGGACTTGCCAACCAGAAGGGTATCATTACCTCATCCTCCAACATCTGAGACAGAAATCAGTTCTTGAGGGACATTCTTATCACAGCCACTTTCATCTGAGAGTGATATACCTAGCAGAGAAGTGTCACCAGCTATGCCTCTAGCTTTGGAGAATGATCTGCCGACTGAAAACTTATACCTGCCATTGCCCCCAAGTGAAGGGGATGTATCAAACGCGGAAGTATTGCCTTCTACTCCACCGACAAGAGAGCCGGAATTACCCAAGCAAGAAGGGGCATTGGCCATGTCTTTGATATCTGAAAGGGATTCAGTTAACCTGAAAGTGTCATTGCTGATGCCTCTAGCGGCTGAGATTGATGCTGCTGGGCAAAGTGAATCATCGTCCTTGTGTTCGGTATCTGAGCGGACATATCCATGTCAAACCTCTCAATGGGGTGATCCACTTCCCCTGATATCACAAAGCACTGAAACTACTCCATCAACTGCTAAGAAGGTTTATATGGCTCCAAATTCTCAGAGGATTGACACATTAGCTCCTGGAATCCAAAGGACAGATACTGTGGACGCTTCAGATTCTGAGAGATTGTACTTTCCTGTGACTTGTAGTAGTGAGATAAACCCAATATCTCTTAGGAATGACAGTGTTAGTCCAATGTCTCTCAGGCATGATATTCAGATGACAGACATAAATGTGCGTCCTGCTTCTGAGATGGTTTATATGCCAGTAATGTCTGAGCACAAAGAAAGTGTTGGTCCAACCTCACAAAGGACTGGTGTACTCCATTTGAAACCAGACAAGATGTACATGGCGTCTCATAGGAGAGATGGTATGGGTATGATGCCTCTAATGGCCAAGGCATCAGTTCCTCCAGCTTCTGGGAGTTTGTACATGTCTACATCTTGCTCAAATGTGATGGCTTCAACGTCTGACAAGATGAGCGTACCTACAGAGATTCAGCATGACGGTATATCATCAAAATCTGAGAGGTTATTCATGCCTGCAAGTTCTCAGGGCATATATGCCGAAAACCAAATAATGTCAGCACATAATTATCGTGGCCAAATAACACCACAAACTCATCCTTCCTCTCAGTCATTATAGGATGCAACTCTTCCTTATAATTCTAATGCAGAAAGATACAACTTTTCTCTAGCATGGTTATAGATTTAGCCTTTTCTCGCTTACATTTTGATTTCAAGACATTGACCCTCAAGAGTAATAACCTTGTACTCCTGCTCGTCAGTTCAATAAATGCCAGAAATCTATACTATTTTGCATACTCTATTCTTCTGCTCAGGCGTCTGCTCCAACTCCACCATTATCTCTGCAAGATGTGGTTGTATGTTGTTCTTTTGTCATTACTGGATCAAGTATTTCAGTATGGTATTAAAGTTGTTTATGCTTAAAAGTTGGTCTTTTAGGAAATTGCTGAGCATTTCTCCCCTGGAAGAAAGCAGCAGAAAAGATTTTGTCATCTATCTCAGAATCAAATCATTTACCAGTTCTTGGCCTTGCGATTGACCCGTCGTGTTTTTTTTTCTCTATCAATTTTAAGCTCGTCGTTAAAGAGGGATAGTATCCGTGTGTTTTTTTCATTATTAATTTCGTGATGTTGGTTGGTAGATGATTTGACTGAAAATATTTGTAAAACTGTATTGTTTCGTTCTGCAAGTCAAAGGTAAATTAACACAGTGCAATAAGGCATAGGTGTGTTTTTTGATACTAAATTTGACAAAATTGGAGGAGTTGTGGCTTGAACTTTAATCACCTCATATGGTCAGTAGATAGCGTCATGGCAACCAAATTAAGATCGCTTTTAACTTATCGTTGTGTCTTGTCATTTCGATGGTAGAGGTGCGAATGAGCACTTAAAAGAGTGATTTTGGCATGCATGCATCGTTTCCAACATGTTCATTGGTTCCCTGAAAGCATCTTTCTTTATTTCCAGCATGATTGGATTCATAAGCTAACAAGCACGAATGTCTTAGATTAAAGTAAGTTCACTGAACATATCAAATCGTAATATCGCCAACAGCCCCAAGACTTTGAAGTCTTGGGAAGTTGAACCCTTGACGTCATGTCAAATTTGTCACTTAACTTAATTGTGACTGCTACCTTCTTCGAGTGTATTTTTTCGACAAGTTTTCTGTCGATTGCCTCTCCCCTTAGATTAGAATAAACTAAATTATACAACTGTTATTATTATAACAAAAAAAAAATCAAATCGTAAAATCTAAAAGAAACTCGAACCTTTCTGCCATCAAATCATGACTAACACCAACACCCTCGTACCAAATTTTCCGACAATAGCAGCATGGAAAGAACAGCCAGAGAACGAATCAGACTAGAGAATCTCTATAAACTCCTAAGATTCTGACATAATTACTACAATCTCCAAAAAAAAAAAAAAAAAAGAAGCAAAATTCACTACTAGAGAACCTACAAGTGAACAAAATTACTCATGCAGTCTCCTCCAATTACTTTCGATCTCAATAAGTGAAGCCCACAACGAACTCCTAAACTCTTCCCTCCCTAAAAATTAAGTGACCAACAAACACTAGAAAAATGTTATTTGTACTCTTATTTTTTTTAATTAATCACACTCCTGCCTTAATTTTAATTAAATAGTTTTCATTATTGAACTATATGCAATTATTTTTAAATGGATATAAATGGATAATGCTAGTCAATCAATTACCTATCAATTAAATGGGTTTAAACGACTCATTTACCTAAAATTCATTGAAAATTTATTGCATGTCCAAATCCGCTTATTAATGTACGAGTTTAGATGGATCAATATAATTTTGAGTCATAATCGGCATCTCTAGTTTACGGTTACGAGGATCGTGTGAAAGGTACAACTAAAATTTATATTCCGTACTTTTATATTCTAGATAGATAGATCTATATATGAAAACAAAAGGTCACGCCATACAACCGTTTTAAGGTTTTTACGTGCAGTAATTGGTAAAAGTAGCATTATTGAGTTGAGTTCAGAAAACGAACATGACACGTGTAGTAACTCAATTCATGTGTGAAGTGACTTGGATCTAACACCAAGTTGAGGTACAGTCAGCTGTACTGGCTCAGTTATTAAATTAGAATCGTCTGGCTAAGTGGCCTTCGTGCAGATATTTAAGACAGATTGGGATGGCTCTTGGACCCGTTCAAGGTCCTGCCTGCCTCTCTTGTATATCCTGAGGCCAACTCTTCAGCTGACGGTCTAGCTTCATACATTACGTTTGGACCACGCAGCGGTTTTCTTTCCCTTCGTCTAATCACCTGCCAGCTGGGATCCGCGGGGAGAGTCGAAAAACTTGTCGCATTTTTTCTTGGGATGATTCTTGCTTTTGGGGTGCATCACGGGGCAACTTTATTCTCCCTTTTTAGCAGCACCACACCAAGAACGGTCCATTATTAATTATAACCATCCAAATTGGACTAGGTGAAACAATAATTACTTTCAATGCTGAAGAAAATCTTGTCGTGCATTTATGGATGGTACGCATTAATAAGTGAAGAAGAGTCGTGTTAGAAACTTGCAATCCATGCATAAAATAAACATTTTGTCTACTTTGGGTTATACGAATTGAAATGCTGTTATCGTTCGAGAGGACCCCAAAAAAAAAAAAGAAAAAAGAAAAAAGGATGGCACTAATAAAAAGCAAAGGAACATGATGGTTAGGAGGAGAACAAGGTTGAAAATGCAAGATGAAAGACTCGTACGCAAACTTCAGCATGGATGCAATGCAATAAAGATGGACATCATTAGCCTATCAAAAAGCTTTGAGATGTGCTATCATTATGTAATTAATGAGGATAGGAATATAATCACTAATAGTACACCTAGACATGCAACAAAACTGAAAGCTGATGATGCGGCTTGGCATACAGATATGGAATGACAGGATACCTCTGTGGTGACGGTGGGGTTTGAGGCCTTTACCTGGGATATACAGAGTACTTGCACATGTCTGTGCATATTTAATGAAATTCCGCAGCTTTTGACCCAAAAAAAAAAAAAAAAAAAAAGAAAGAAAAAAGAAAAATGTATAAAGTAAAAGGTAAGGGGAGGGATCGAGAAGGTTTTGATCTAATTAATTAATAGTTAAAATTGATATTCTAAAAGTAAGAGATTATAGGTTCCAATCTTCCTTCCCCTCTCGTCTCAGCTTCTTAAATCCTATTATTTCTTTGCTAGAAAATTTTGTTTTAAAAGGAAAATAGAAGGGGCCAATTACCAAACTGAAGTACTAGAAAAGAAAGTACAATTGCCAAAGTAAGAAATGGCCTTGAGTTGAGCAGATCACATTTAACATACAACTGTTGTTGAACTGAACTGCCTATGATTTTATTTATATATTTATTTTTAGCGTAAGTGAGAGGATTCGAATTCGAAATATTTCACTTGCGCTTCTTTCTTTCGTATCATTCAATCCATCCGTCTCCCTCCCTACTGGCCCTGCCCACCGTGCCACACCTACTTGATAAAGAATTTAATCGCTCCCCTTTGCTCTTTGTGGCAAGTACTTTTCCGTTAAACAAATATTTGATCCATAAAACTTACAACAACACAATAGTGGCAGACTCATCAGAGAGAAGTATATAATCTATTACATGGTAGTAACTATCATACGATTGTCTCATCAGCAAAAGATCACAAACATTACAATGAATTTGTCGGATTCATTTTAAAGATTCTTTTGGGTACGTAATTGCAATTACAAGTCAAAAAACATCGGAAGTGCAATATTATCTATCACATGATGAGCTTGATCAAAACACTAATCAAAGAAAAAAGATTCACTACATGAGTTCTACTAAAAAAGGAAAAAAATCAATTTCCTTTCTTCGTTCTTATTTTCGTTTTCCCCTTTTTTTTTTTTGGGAAGATAATACTCAAGTCCTTTTCTATTGTTATTTATTTTTTTGGGAATAAAATGCAAGTCCTTGAGTAAATTTTGTTACGTCGGTTGTGTCTACTTGGAGCCTGCACGCGTTCACAATCTCATGAATGCCGCCTTGTTTCTGTTTTCTGGTTTCCGGGTCCGACAAAATAAATGTTTCATGCTTTATTGCTTTATTACAATGGGTTAATATCAGAAACCTCCCTTGAGGTTTCTTCTAATTACACCTAGAACCCCTCATGTTTTCAAAATCACACTTAGCACCCCTGGAATGACAACTTTGGTATCATTGTCAGCCCCTCATTATTTTTGTTCCACTTTTACCCTCTTTGTGAGCTCTATTTATGTAACTCACATCCCTCCAACTTTTGTAACACTACAAAATCGTCCTTGAGCAGTGTAACATGTTTTGAACATTTTGTAATTTTATGTAAGATTCTTGGACATCTTTATAATAGATTGCGTTTCTGTTATTAAGTTTTACAAATAATTCACATAAAGTTACACATTGTTTAAAAAATGTTACATTGATCTGAACGGAGATAAAAAAAAATATGACTATGGATTCTCATAATGGCAGCAATAGTTTCAATATGTGGTTGTAGTTGTAAATAAACTTGCTCTTCCATTTTTGTGAAAATGAGGTGGTATAAATAGCTTTTTATGCATTCTAGTCGAATGGAGTTTGTAAGTTTTATTAATATTGCGATACCCTATTATCAAGTAAAAATGGATTGCTAATGCTATATACTCATGAATTCCCATCATCTTTAAACTACTTTTAGATTATGTTATTATTCACTTAGAAATTGCAATTTTGGCAATGGCACTATGTCCATTGCCAAAAGTCAACATCACTGGAAACTCTATAGCTATTTAATATTAGGGAGTGGGATAGGAACAATTGTTAGATCAACCATCCCTGAATCGTGTAACATTTTTTGAACATTTTGTAATTTTATGTAAATTTCTTGTACATCGTTACAATAGAAGTGTGATAAGTTGTTAGTGTACATATGAGTCCAATATGTAATAATCGTATTTGTGTTGATAAGTTTTACAAATAGTTCAATTAGAATTACACTTTGTACAAAAAATATTACATAATCACATAATAGTTTTACATAATTTAGGGAAAACCTCAAGGGAGGTTTCCGAAATTAACTCTACATAAATAGAGTTCACAAGGAGGGTAAAAGTGGAACAAAAATAATGAGGGGCTGACAATGATACCAAAGTTGTTATTTCAGGGGTGCTAAGTGTGATTTCGAAAACATGAGGGGTTCCAGGTGTGATTAGAAGAAACCTCAAGGGAGGTTTCTGATATTAATCCTTATTACAATATACGAACGGCATGGTTTGGGTCCTGCTTCCTAGGAGAAGTAGGACCCAAAGAATATGCGCTGAATCTTGTCAAAAGGCATTAAGGCCCTATCTTCCGGAGCTGTGGTGGCTTATATCTTACGATACATGAAGAAGAAAAAAAAAAAAAAAAAGAGAGAGTAGTGATAAAGATGGACGGGTGTTTTTAATTAAGTTTTGACTTTTGACTCCAAATTACGTGCGGTGCATATTCAGTCAATGGTACAGTCTTCTCTCTCTCTCTCTCTCGCTCTCTTTAAGTTTATTCCATCACAATTCACCAACGCACTTTAATCTTTGCTTTGTCTCCCTCAATTAGCTTAGCAAGGGAGAGGTGGGTTACATGCATCCTAATCAACTGGCGGGAGACTAATATTTGGGGGAAAGGAAAAATAAAGAAAATCGTTTTAATAATACTCTAAAATTATTGCGAAAGGTTACTAGTACGGTCATATTGGGGTTTTTTTTTTTTTTTTTTTGGCTCTAATAGCAATGATGATCTGTAATGTGAAATGAAGAAAAGAAAAAAGAAAGTCACAAAATGAAGGTTATATCCAGTAAATTGATTAAAGCTCAAGATGTCTCATAGTTTAATTAAGGGGACTGTTTGATAACGCTTCTACTTGGTTGATTCAGAACTTAGCCGTTAAAATTGAATTGAACCGTCCACCTTCTTGGACGAAACGAAAAGAGTGGCATTTGACTTGAGTCATGCCCACAGGCCACATGGCTGACGTGGGTGAGCAATCTTTCATATGCAGAATCATGCTCAGTACATAATACGATTTTCCTTTTCTTTTTGGCTTTCTGGTGGTGATAGCAATATAATAAACGCCATCCACTGCAGTGAAAAAAGCAATCACAACCACATCATGTTGGAAGCAATCGCAACTTGAGACGATCACCAAAGAAGAAGGAAAAAGCAAGAAAAGGCCATGGTCAACTGCGTCCTACGACTAGAAAACTTTGGGAAGCTCATGCTTCGCCAGATAAACAATCATCAGCTTGTCAAATCAAAAGTATCGCAAAAGAGTTTGGTGAGTTTTGTTTCACAGTTCGGAGTAACAGATGCTTGGCTGCAGAGAAAGCGTTGGTGCTCTATAAATAGCATCGCTTCGCCCTTCTTTAGTCTCTCTACCTTCTAACTTCAGCCCAGTTGTTTTCCCCATAATCATTTATGATCACAAGTACTCTTCTGCCCGAAAAACTCTTCCTCAACACCCTGCTGCTGTGTATCATATCCGTGACTGACTTCACTCTTCTTGTGCATTGCAGGTCCCTTGAAGATTGATCACAACAAGGATTCTGTTTATAATATCCAAGCCCTGCAGCCACTACTCGAAAGTAAATTTCCATTGCTTCCTTAGTGTTTTCTGATTTGAATTCTTTGGTTCAATTAATCATCTTCCTAAAGTTTCTGCTTCAAAAGCCTCATTCGTCAGTTTTTCTTGGATGTTGTTTTATTTGCCGAAAAACGTCTAATGTTGATCTGTGTGCGTAGCTTATTAGTATTATTCACACGGGTTAAGAGGTAATCAAGATGACCAGCAGTACACCAGTCCTCCTCATTAAACATTCATCATCAATTCTCATGAAATCCGTCGCACTTTCCCTTAATCTTCGTCTTCCTTAGGCCACAATTTACTTAGACCTTGGAGCTTCAGCTTTGAACCTCGTAAATAGTAACCAACTCCGCCTCATGTCTAAAAATTCTTCCTCACCATCTCCTCCTCGATCATCAAGGACAGCTCCTCCTCAACTCCCGTGATCCGTTGCAGTAACAATCCACTACTTCTCGGGAGTGACTCCATTCATGGAGATTTTTTAGAGTTCTCTCTTTCCTTTTCAGAGTTGTTAGTTTTTGTTAACGTTTTCATTTTGGGCAGCTCTATTTCCCATTGGGTCTAGCACAAGCAAGAAGTCTTAGGGCTTTTCTTTGTTGATGTTCTTTATAGTTTTGCACCAACAACAAGAACAGCTTCTGTAGCCTGCAACTCTCCTTCATTTGGATAGCTCTATCTCTTCCGCTTGTAAGACAACTGGGTCTAGCTAGCATCAATGGCGAGTTACTCCATCCATGGAGATTCTGAGGGTTTTATTTTTTCTTTGTGTGTGTGTGTGCGTGTGTGTGTGTGTGTGTTTTAAAGATATCTTTGCTTGTAAGAAAATTGTAGAACAGGACGAAAAGTTGAATCCCGATCGACTATAACCATGTTAATTTCACTTTTAAAAAGAGCTAGTCACTTCGGCCTCTTAACTTATAACCTATTCCACTTTGCACCATCCACTCTAATTTTGGACGCATTACAGTTAACAATGCCTACAATTTTAGGTATGTCCCATTTTGGTCCGGCTATTAATAGTGTTAAAACAGTTAAGGGAGTTATTAGTGGTGCTGAAAAAAAATTAGGCTCTCGCATGTACACTAGCACACATGTAAATCAGTAGGTCAGAGTTCACTTTTCATAATTATTTCTATATATTATTTATCATATACACTTGCGTATCAGTATATATATGTCTACAAACACTACAAGCATGCTACTCATAATTAATTAAACAGGGTGAACAGATTTACTACTATGGTGTATCTTATCAAACTTAAACAATAAATTACATAGGTGTTTATTGGATTTTGTTTTTTAAATAAATTATACAGGTTTAATCATTCATAAATGAATCATTTGTGAACAAGTTTAATTATCTTTTTTAATTTACAGAATTCGCTACACCTCACTTAGACATTTCTATCCTTGCTTTTTCTAGTTTATTTTAATATTTTCTATAATTGTAGGGAAATAAAAATTTATAAAGAAGCGTTTGATTTTATACTAGCAAGGCCATGCATGAAATGGCAGGTATAAAAAGTTATGTATCCTATCCATTCAAATTTGTGTAACAGATTAAAACCAAGTAAGGGGATGGAATGTGTCCAGAAATTAGAATTTGAGCGTAAAAAGTAAAACTAAATACTGATTTAGTATGGAAAATGGAATTTGGCCTGCTTACCAATATTATGTGGCACTCAGATGCGTAACACTTGTTAGGAATCCCACAGCGCAATTAACAAATTAAAGAGTCCAATTAGTTGGACTATATGAAGACTTAGGGTGCAATTTATCTAAAACTGTAATTTAATAGGTAAAGTGATAATTGGTAATTAATTAGAATTTAGAAGGTCAAAAAAGTGAAATTAGTCCTTTTAAGTAATTATGCTTTCTTTTCAGTGAATTGTCATTAATTTTTCTACTTTTTTCTTTCATGAAGAAAGTGGATTTTCATTCCGCACGTACTGGGACTTCTACCATTTATTTCCATGAAACCCATTCCGTGTACAAGCATTGTTAATTTTCCCTAGTACATGAAGCAACTAGTAATAAGGGTTTTGTGCACAAATGATAATAACATGTCACGTTCTCCTATCCCTCTTGCAGAATTTCCCAAGGACAATTAAGGGGTTTTCTTTGGGTACTTATTTGAAGCTTTGTTTAACCAGGTTGATCTTGAGCAACTAGTGCAGGGAACATCTCGAAGTAAGTGAATATTTCTCCAAATCTTTGTGGGGCCAAAAAGGTTGCTTCATTGATCTTACTTGGCTAATTAAGTGAAGAATATAATGAATCAGTGGTTAAGCATATTCGATAAGTCAGTATATATAATGAAGATGAATTTTCTGTTGCTAGTGTTTACATGCAAATAAATAAATGTTGATTTCATATTAGAATGGCCGATCAAGGAATGCCTGAGCAACTTCCTGGGGATTGGATCGCCATTCAATACCAGAAACCAAAACCCTTCAGACGTGGTTTTGTGATGAAGATAAGAACCACGAGGATTAGCAGGTTCCACAACTATGGAGAACTAGAGCTGTATCTGTACGAAAAATGTGGTGGAGGACATCGTACTTATCCAGGTGGCGCAGACTACCCAGACATTACGTACACCAAGCATAGTGATCCGTACAATGATGAGAATAACATTGAGCGTAGGCTGAGGAGCGAGCCATGGGAGGATTTTGCTGCAACCGTTTATCATATTCTCATCAGGAGGGTTGAGGCTTAAAAGTTCCAGCAGCATGCCAATCAATAATGCTTTCGGTGTTTATGATCAGACGACGATTTTTAAGGGCTTTCTTTATCATTTCCCGGAACCCGGATGCGTTCGTGTAATGTAAAATACTATGCTTTTCAGTTCTAGCGCCTGGTTTATATGGAATAATTTTTGGCTCAAAGCACATTGAAGGAAATTTTGTTCGTGGTCTGCTATTACTAGTACTGGTACTAATACTTTTATCAAACATTACTTTATTTGATTTCAACTGGAAACGCTTCTGTGTTTTTTGGTGGTTCACTGCATTAAAAGATCAAGTTTGCCCCACATCCTGAATAATATGCTTAATGTGTGGTGAAAGTGGATAAAAAACGAGGTTGACATCATGGTGGTGACGATAAAGTGCTCACTGCTGCCTGCTAATTTAGTGCTTAAATGTTGTGGGCATGCATTTAAACGATGTGGGGGTAAACTTGCTTTGAAACCGTGTGGGTTTGGCTGTGTGAATGGGGTTTCTTCTTTCACTTTTCCTCTTTCTGCTATTAGGATCTTTCTCCTACAACAAAAAGTACATCGATCTTCATGTCAATTCCACTGTCTTTTGTTTGCTTGGTGAAAGGGATCTTGATTTCTCAATCTCTTCCCATAATTGATTCATTACTTATGATGGAGCGTCTGGTCCCAAAGGGAGGGATTGTTATAATATCAATAGATCACGAATGACGCACATCCCCGCCAAGGATTATTACATGATAAAATTGGTAGCCATCAATTTGTTTAAATACTGCATCAATAATCCTAATGTATATGTGATTTTTTATATATATATAGGTAGGAAGAAATTAGCTAGTCTTTTGCCATTAAGTTCAAGGGATCTCAGTAATAATGTAACTTTGAACTTTTTTTCCCCTAAACCATTCCTTCTTTACACCCAATCAATAAATAAGTAATTAAGCTTATCCGCTATAAGCAGTATTAAACTATTTTAGCAAACCAACTATGGGGAACCAAAAAAAAAAAAAAAAAAAAAAGCAGAGAGCATGTGCAAGAAAAGTAGGAATGGTGACAAGAATAGCTAGTACTAAGATTAGGATGCAGTAGAAAGAGAAACATGACAATGTCGACATACTAAGATTAGGATGCAGTCAAAAGAGAAACATTATACGTGTTGATCAGAAGAATAACGCATATGATATAATTGTAAAAAAACATAATTTTAGTTCCAGAGATGTTTGTTTCCTTTCTTCACTCACGTTCATTAGATAATTAACTGGATCTTCAGAGAAGTATAGACTCATTAATTAACTGGATCTTAATTAAAGATAGATCCTCTTCCTAGCTATTTCTGGTGGAACAAACTTAAATTCATTAATTTGTCTCTTAGCTTCACTATTAAATTTCATAAGCCTTGTTGAAGAACATCTTGGCATATAAGGCCAGGGATTTGTCTTAATAATTGGACCGTCTTCAGCTCATGAATGCCAACATTCTTTAATTTACGCATAGATATTAATGTGACCCGAGTTTTCTTAAATGCAACATTATCTATCAATTTTGATTCTTTTAAGACTTTTTTTTTTTTTTTTAAAGAAACGAGAACAAGAAGATGCATTAGATTCATCAAAAGTGTTTACAAGTCACCATTTATACATATACTTTTGTAGCCAAGGCAAAAGATAGTCAGGGGGCTAACAAAAACCATATATACATCCTACTATATCAAAAGGCAGTTCCAATGCATGCATGCATGGATAATGCGCCTGTTGCAAAGTTACATTCTCCAGATGGCAACTGGGTTGTAGAGTTTAATTATCATTTCGTGGCAGTCCTTCACAAGGTTGCTTTTCCTTGGACATTTTTTTTTTTTTGTCAGCAACGATACATTTGTATAATCTACTCTATCCTAATTTAGGGAGGAGGGGAAACTTAAGGAGGCTGTGGTAGAAGGTCAGTGGATATACAGATCCAACTAGACCAAGAGAAAGCAAATGTATCTACTCTATCCTAATCTAGAGAGGAGGAAAAGCTTAAGGATATACAGATCCAATAGACCAAGAGAGAGCAAATGTATCCACTCTATCCTAATCTGGAGAGGAGGAAAAGCTTAAGGAGGCTGTGGTAGAAGGTCAGTGGATATACAGATCCAATTAGATTAAAAGAGTGTTTTGCCACAACTCTTAGATTTTTTTCGCTGCAGATGAGGTTTGAACCCTCACATACAGTCTAAGAAGGGACTTAAACCCCTCCCTAGTGGCCACTGATCCATTGGCCAGTGGTTATTGCTTTTCCTTGGACTTGCTCTGAGCTTTCCTGCATGTAGCATTAACAACAATCTTTCCGTCAGAATGCATGAAGAGCTCATCAATTTTGAATGTCAGAGCCAAAAGCAGTCCTGCTCCAATATCGCACACGACTCGGCCACGAAGTCACAGTCGCACACAACTCTGTCAATTTTGTCGCTGTTTCTAGGGTTGAGCAATATTGGTATGTACCGAATTCGTGGCCGATTTCAAATTTAATTTAGTAATTTGAAATCAGATATTTGGTATTTGATACAAAATCGATATTTATCAAATTTATTGAATTCTAATATAGTATGAAATAGATAATAAGATTTTCAATTTGGTAATAATCGATTTCAAATTTAAATTCGGTAAAATAAAATAGGGCATCATATTACTACATTTGAATATCAAATTTGCTATATACTATTAATATATATTATATAGGTTAAGCCTATATACTATTTATATATTATATAGGTAAAGGCTATTAGTTGTAAATAGTAGATACTATCATCATATACCTATAATAATATTTAATTATGTACAATATGCTATTATAGTATTTGTAATATAACCATAATAGTACACTAACAATATTACTTATTGATTTATACATAAATAGATTAATAAGTATAAGTATAGTACTAAATATTAAACATAATTAGTAATTTGACATCAGTTTATAATTCATGTTTGAATTATTGAATATTTGAATATTTAACTTCAGTCTTTATAACCACTAATCACTAATTTTGTTTAAGCATAGACAACTAAAACAATGCATATGAATTTCATGTCAACATGCTAGTGTATTATCTTTCACCATTAAAAGCAATCAAGTCATTTGCAAATTAAGCATTTAAGCAATATAAGAAAATAAGAATAAATGTGTAAGTGTGATGCATTACATAATTTACAAGTTAATCTCATTTTATAAATAAGTGTATAAGTGAACACAATTACACGAGTGATTTAACAAATGTATTACATAATTTACATGGTAATCTCATTTTATAAATAAACGTATAATTGTATAAGTAAACACAACTGCACAAGTGATTTAACAAAGTTAATTTACATGTTATTGACTTATTGCAGTTTTTTCCCATTTAATTCGGTTATCCCGTTTTCATTACCAATACCGAATTGAATTCAAAATTGAAATGAATTCGGTTAGCTCCAATTCGGAATTGAAATAGGCTTAAGATTTTATAGGTCAAATAACCGAATTTACCGAATTGGATGCATCAAATTACTGAATTTGCACCGGATGCTTACCCCAAGCTGTTTCATTCTCTCCAAGCCTGGCCATGCTACACATAGCTAATGGCCACTTGCAAGCATCCAAAGGCAGCAATTTGTGTAACAATAGTCTAACAACAATTGCAGTAATATTATTGTTTATTGTTTTTTTTGGGAAAGATAACAAATTGTTTATTTGTAAATTTAGGTGTGTTTTTAAATATGAGAACTTTTATCTTTCTTCATCTAAATAAGGAAAAGATATTAGTGCCTTCAACTTCTAAATATGAGTGTATTCTTAAATATAAGTCTAATTTTTTCCCCTTCAAAAAATGATAAATTGTAACCGCCTTTAAAAGTGAAGAAACGTAATCTAAAATATATATCAGACCCATTCTTCAGCATTATATGTGTTGACTGGTTTATCTGAATAAATGCATTTATGGTGGCCCATGGCCAGTAAATAACTGTTCTATTATTTATTAGTTTATTCTTCCTATACATAAATGTTGAATGTTGGAGAGCATCCATTTATCTAGCTCCATTGAGACATACACGACAAATATCTAAATATTCCATGGCGCATCTGGATTTCTCTTCCAATTAACAATACGTCAATTTTACAATGCTCAAGAGAAACGTGACCACTAAGAACCAGATGCCCATCAGACATGCATATATCAGCTAGCTTACCCTAGGTGTTGAATGAGGTTCAAGATTTGTCGGATAAGGCTTGCATTACTTGCAGGTTGAATTTTGAAATTAAAGCATAATAGTGCATTGACTATTATATTTTTTGAATTTTCTTAATCTCTAATTTGAGTTGTGCAGATTAAAAGTGAGGCATGATTTGGATAGAGTTGAATTACTTATGAAGTTTTCTTGCAAAAGAAAATTGATTGAGGACTATGAGAATGGCGGGTTACTAGATTACTAGCCACTGAGAAGATTACAGAAATGATGGAAATTAATGTGGCTTTGCTTGATGTGAGCAAATATATGCCCATTCTATTTGCTCAAGTTATGAGTATAACATAATTATTGTTTTTTGAATCTATTCTAACTTTACTTTGAGTTGTGCAGACTAGTATTCACTGAAAAGTATGACCTGATGTGAAGGTACTTGAAATATTTTTTGATATTTTTGCAAAAGCAAAGATAACCATGGAGTTTTTTGAGAATGGCTTCTAGTGCATCACTAGACTACTGGCCATGGATAAATTAAAAAATAACATATGAGTAAATATACGCCTACACTATTTGGCAAAAATATATGGATGAGAAATTTTCTCATTGAAGATTGGTTCCATGTATTTGGACCACTAAGAGATTATTTGGAAAAATTCGAGAATATCATATCTTTGTTATTTTATTTGTGTTGAAAAAATAAATCTCAAGCTTGAGTCAAGGATATGATACACACCGAGGGGGATAAGACAAAAGTCTAATATATGTTAAAAATCACCTATGAGGATACAACCACCTAGGGACTGGAGATCCCAAGAACTAGGTCGGAGACAAACGAATCATAGAGTGATTTGGTTGATTAATATGCACTACTTTGATTATATTGTCTGTCCCTATGATGTAAGTGCATTTGTGATCCTATAACGATAAGTGAGGTTGGGATTTTTTTTCCCTTAATGAGTTCTATAGCCCTTATGGGTGGGATGTCTAAGTCATAGG